TTTTTTTAATTATGATGAGTTCCGTGATTTTTGAAGACTCTCAATTATCCAACAATATTCACATTCAAATCTATAAAATTAATACTCACGAAAGCCACTGTAAACTATTGGTCTTAGTTTCTCTTTCTCTCTCTCTCAGGCAATCACTACCCCCTATACCGACAAAACAGGGGTGTCACAATCGCGATTCTATCCCAAATTTATAGGTCCCACCTTATTATACTAACTCAATTTCTTGGCATGTGCTATAACATGATTCGTTCCTTGAAATATTGTATTATATATACTGTTGATATTACAATATTATTTTCTTGAGCATGACGTACAATATGGCGTGTCCAGTTCCGTGAATCCTTGAAATAAATAAATAATTCTTTTTATCCATTGCTGATGAAAATTTTGACTACAGATGTGTCGCGTCGCGTCGCGATCTAAACTGTCGTGTTTCCGACGGGTTGTACGGCCGTCTCGCGACTACGACACGTGTTGCCCGCCAAATGAATATTGGGCAACTGTTTCAGTTGCACGAGCAGAAAAGCGTCGCCTCTACGACGGTCTAACGTTTCGAAAAGAACCGTGGCGTGTTGATGATTCGAAGAGAACTGTTTTCAAGAGAACCGATGTCTCTGAGAGCTCGTTCGGAAGTCGTTGCAAAGAACCGATGTCTTTGAGTGCTCGATCAGAAGTGTCGTCGACCAAGGGCGTTCCCTTGGTTCACGAATCCGTTACCTTGGAGTGAGGGAAGGTTCCCCCGAAAAACCACGATAGTGGAGGAAATCCTCTCCTCCAAGGTGGGGTACCTGGGGTTCAACCGCGCGCCGGTGACCTCATCGGCCGTTTGTTACCCCTAGCGAAGGCCTGAGGCTTCCAACGTGTGCGGACCACGTGGAGCCCTCAGGCCTATTGTCAGCCAAGTCTTAAGAGCCGTCGCCTAATTTCGTTAAATTAGGGATTTCCAGGATTCTCGTGTTCCGCGACACGAGAAGTCAAAAGAAAAAAGGTACAGCAGTCAAACATGCTGAAGGCATGGAGCGGGAAATTCCGATGCCGAATTGTTCGACCCTAAAACCTGGCTGTTGGAAGACCGTAACGGGTCTTCCTTGTTCCACGACGGAACAAGATGGTTAAGTGAATATCGGTGAACGTACGACAATGTGAAGTGACACTGACAATCGTTCGCGTTATAAATACTTGACAGATATCCATTTTACTAATAAATATTTGCAGTGGAAACGGAAAGGGATATTTTAATAGAAACGCTGCCTTTCATGAGAGGAAATGCTTCCGCGGAAATATTACGCTTGGTCCAATTTAACCTCGATCTTTATCACTTAGGCAAATGGCTATTGAATTTTTTCATCAATTTCGCGGGCTAATTTGTTTTCCGATTCGTGTATGCGCGTTTTAATTACAGCAGTTGCGCGAAATTAATTAACTTCCGAGTAATATTTTCTTATATTCCTGCGCGGTTGGTCGAGCGAACGAATCTCCGTGAACGTATATCGCGTTGGGTAGTTTTATAAGTCACGGGAACCATTTTCCTCCTTTCTCTGAACATGGGACGCATTATCAGCCGAACGAGCAAACCAGATTTCCGATTAACCGTGGAATTACTGTAGGAATAGATTCCGGGCCAGGGGAAAAAAGTAATGACTCAGGATGAAAACCGTATCCGCGGAGACTGTTCTTTTATTTCCGTTTAATTATTCACGGTCGAATTCTCGTTCTTGGCCTGTCGAGGATTCTAACAAGATGCACTTCAATATTGCACCGGGATAGGTATTGATTTATTCCGCAAAATAGGTATTCTAATATATTACCGATGAAGACCTAACCTAACCTAACCTAACCTAACCTAACCTAACCTAACCTAACCATATATTTCTGTAGGTCTTAAAGAAGTTGAAATTATGTAATTATTTCTTATGTAATAATTGTTCGTTATTATGTATTTACTCGTTGTAAGTTAATATCGTTGTAAGTTAATTATTATTATTATTTTTGTTATTGCTATTATTGTTATTATTATATATTTACTTCTTGTGGTGATAATTCATCGACAAAAGAATTATGGTATTAAGCGTGGACATTATAATAATTATGGTATTAATTAATAACGTTACAACAAGTATTAATTGTAATTAGTTATATTAACTAATTTGCAAATTTCATAAATTATCGCAATGCAACTTTCACGGATTAAATAAATCTTTCGACAGTAGCTGTAATTACCGTTTTCTACTTTGATCTGCAATGTGACGACCGAAGATTGTGAATAAATTATTGTAAATTATTTACTGTAATGATGCATTGACGAAATTAAATAACAAGCTTTATATTGATAAAATGAAATTCGAATTACACAGGTATATTTATAAATATATAATTTTTAAGTAATACAACTTCATAAAAAATAAAAGTATTAATATAAAGACATAAACACTCTTATATTTTATAGTATTAATAATAAAGTATTAATATAAATGCATAAACATTCTTATATGAATAATTCTTATATCGATTGGGTAATAATTATGAACCATTCGTCACTGATTTATATGGTAAATAATAAAAATATGGAACTGATAATTAATGACTAATTAATCGCTATAATTAATACACAAAATAAATTGATAACTAATAGTTAATTTATCATGATAATTAATATTCGAAATATCTAATACATAAACATTCTTATATGAATAATTTTATGTCGATTAGTTGATAATTATAAACCATTTATCACAAATTTATATAGATAATAACAAATATGTGGAACTGATAATTAATGACTAATTCATTGCTATAATTAATATACAAAATAACTAACGCACTAAATTGATAACTAATAGCTAATTTATCATGATAATTAATATTCAAAATATCTAATATTCAGAATTGACGATTAATATCTAACCCATCGCCATAATTAATCTGCCAATTAACTAGTATAGAAAATTCGAAGTCGTCGCTATATAAACAATTAATTAAAAAAATAACTAGCATACGAAATTGTCAACTATTCACTTGATCACTAATTAACATTCGAAACAAGTAAAATAGAAGAATTTGTAGCTAATAATTACGAAGTGATACACAAGAATAAAGTAACAGGAGAAATTGGTTGTCCCTCTAGTGAATTTCTGACATTTCGATGAAACTTGAAACGCGACTATAAGTTCCAGGAATAAAAGCTTTCGCTCGTGCTGAACTCGTCCCAGGGGGCACGATTATCCACTCCATAATCGTGTTACGAATGATTTCAAGATCCGTGGCGAGATCGAAGGCGGAATCGTCGAGGATTCGAGGAACGATAAGCTCGCGCGAGCATGTTCTCAACTTCGCACGTTACACCGGCTAAACTCTACGACGCGAGACGGCTGGAAGACCGTTGTCGACTGTCGGATCTTCGAGATTACAAGTGCTGCTTCCATGAAAATTCTCGTCCCAGTTCCATGGGATTTTGGTATTAACTCGTAGCCGGCTCAAACGTCCTCGCGAAGACGCCTCCACTCGCTGAAGTCTTCTCGTTAGCGAGTTGAATGTTGAATCATCTAACATAGCAACTGCCACACACGCTAGAATAGCAAATTCTATGTTACCACAGTCATCAGTACCATTCAGACAGTTTGTACCGATATGAAACGCAAATGAAAATATATATAGGATCAATAGATCCTAGATAAATAATGTGCAGATAGAGATCTGCAAGCTTAATAAACAACGAGTTATTTTAATAATAAACAAATTTATAGGGACACATCCCTACTGGTGTAGAAGAAAGACATTTTTCCAGTCCTAGTGACGTCAAAGGTCCCGAGTCAATGGGGGCCTGGTTTATTTCTACGAGCACCCCCCATGACAGGCCAGGGCTGGAAAAATGCAGCCAGTTTGTTGACGACCACACTGCGATTCAGACTATTTTCTCAAGAGCAATACGGTTTTCTCGGCACAGGTCCCCTCGTGCATAATAAACTCTGATAAAATCCGATACAGTGCTTTCCGCGAAAACTGAAAGAGCTAATCTCCCACGATATCCCTTCGTACATCCACCAACAGAGCATTGTATTCGTTGGATTAATCTGTTCACTGAGGATTTAAATTCTATAGCAATACTAGAATGACAAGAGACAGATCCATTATTGCTCGAGAAATTAACAATTGACAAAACAGTGCTGAGTACAGTCATCGTTACAGTATTGTAGCCGTTGAATTAATTTGTTCACTGATGATTTAAATTCTATAGCAGTTCTAGAGTGATCCAAGTTTAAATCAGTTATATCTGGACGTATTAACAATTGACAATACGATGCTTAGTACAACCACGATAACTTCACGATAAACTCACGATTGCGGTGCCATGTACTACAGTATAACACGCAGTAAGGTGTCACATTGACGTCGCGAGATACTGTATCGATTCTGAAATATTTCCAAGATGTCGATGACACTATGCGACGCCGTGCACTCTGGATCTGTAGCTCGAGAAATGAACGATCTGATTGTTAGCCAACGTGCAGTCCACGTCATTTTTATTTCCGCGGTAAATGCCTATCGACGTGGTGTACACGTCGCTGGCGATTTTGGAACAAAAGCATCTCGACGTGTGTGACACGTTTTTCTTGTGCAAGTGGTTAAACTAAAATATTACGATATGTTTTCCTCAATTCTGGAACTCTAACCGTCAAACACACGATTCTCTATTCACTATGACTCGACTCCATGCACTCTGTCTTGTCTACGCCCTTGCACCCTTATTTAACCCTTTGTGGAAGGGACTGTTCGAAGTTAACCGTACCATGGATTCGAGTTGCTGCCACAGTAGATATTTGCTGGATTCTCGCTTCAGAAATTAATTAGGATGAACAATGGTACCCGTTTAATCTGACGATTCAATTTTTCACTCCCACATTCATCAACTCCGAGATAACTTAACGCGATAAAAGTTTCGGTGGTTGCCGATAGCTAAAAAGAAATACAACTATGAATCATGGTTTCAGCTTCGACGTTCGCAATCGTCGACAGTTCAACAATGCTCGCCTCTGGTCGTCGCCGACGGCACTGGGACCAAGAGCATTTTTTATCACGGCGTCCAATCCTGCTCACCTCAGCATCGATCGGCTGGAGACCAAGGACGAAGGGATCTATAGGTGTCGAGTGGACTTCAGGAACTCACCGACGAGAAAGCAGAAGATGAATCTGACTGTTATAGGTGAGTAGCGAGCCTCGCTTGTCAGAAATTACGCCCGATGTCGAAGGGTGCTTCAGGAAGGCTTCTTCCTGCTGAGGAAGACTTCGCGATTATTTCTTGCTGCGATTAACGTTGCTGCTGAGAGTGTATATAGGAATCTGCGTAGAGACTGGGAGCTGCCATTCTGGTGCATAGTGAAATAAAAATTAGTCATTTTTAATGAGTAGGGTAGGTATAGATAGTAATTTTGTATTGAGAATGTGTAGATATGATAGATCGTCTAGGTGCCATTTTGGTGCATGGTGAATCTTTGTAAAGTGAAGCAAAAATGAGTTATATTTAATAAGCGAGGAAGATATAGATAGCAGTTTTGTATTGAAAGTGTATAAATATGAATAGAAGCAGCTAGGTACCATTTTGGTGCATAGTGAATCTTTATAAAGTGAAGCAAAATTTAGTAATTTTTAACAAGCGAGAAAGATATAGATAGTAATTTTGTATTGAAAGTATGTAAATATCAATAGAAGTAGCTAGGTACCATTCTGATGCATAGTGAATCTTTATAAAGAGAAGGAAGAATGAGTCATTTTTAATAAGTAGGAAGAGTATAAACAGCAATTTTGTATTGATAATATGTAAATGTGATAGATAAAATAGGTGCCATTCTAATGCATAGTGCATCTTTGTAGAGTGAAGTAGAAATAAGTCATTTTTAATAAGTAGGAAAGGTACAGATAGCAATTTTGTATTGAGAATGTGTAAATGTGATAGATCAACTAGGTACCATTCTGATGCACGGTGAATTTTTGTAAAGTGAAGCAAAAATGAGTTATATTTAATAAGTAAGGAATATATAGATAGCAATTTTATATTGAGAATGTATATATATGATACGTCAGCTAGGTGCAATTCAGGTGCACGGTGAATTTTTGTATAATAAAATAAAAGTGAGCCACTTTTACAAGCTAGGGAAGATATAGATAGCAATTTTGTACTGTATAAATATAAATAGAAGCAGTTAGGTGCCATTTAGATACATAACGAAGCTTTTGACCATTCTAGGATAACATACCGTTTATATTAAACGCAAACCATAATTTCACACATTTTTCTCGCTGAGTGAACAATTTTTATTGAGTAGAGGATACCTAGATAGTCATTTTTATACATATAGAAACAATAAAATGTTAACTATCTTCAACGCAATAGTTGTTGCACCAATTTTTGACGACTTACTGTCTACTCTTTTCCTCGTGACGTTGCATTCATTAAGCGAGAAAAAATCGTACTGTTTAATAAAGAAAGGAAAATTCAGTGATTCCTATACGACTCACCCTGGCACCTAACTAAATTAATACATTTATTTTCGTATAGCTAACATGGAACTAAAATTTGGGTGGGAAAGCTTCACTTTTAGATACTGCTTATACTTGGCACCTAACTAAATTAATACATTTATTTTCGTATAGCTAACATGGAACTAAAATTTGGGTGGAGAAGCTTCACATTTAGATACTGCTTATACCACAGAACCATTAATACTTCATGGAAATGGTAACATTAAATTATCATTGAATTCCCTGGGCAATCATTTGGCTCATGCGTAGAGTCCTGAAGAAGGATATATAATGTGCTGGGAAGGAACAATAGAATTGAATAAAACAAATCCAAACTCATATCCGATTGTATTAATCGCTATATTACTATGACCTGTAACAAATCTCAAGTTAGATAAGTATTGCGTTCAGTATACAATTTAATTTGCATAAATTCGCATTGAACGTTCAATCTACACTTTACCTTCGAAAATTAGCTAAATAGACGTTACCTTTCAATCTCACGGAAAGACTACCTGATAACTTCCAGACCCAGAATCCTGAACATTTATTTCACCCTAAATTTATCAGTCTCGGTGTCCAAGAAGAAATCTCCGAGAATCTCGAGGAAACGAAAACTGGGAATAAAAAGCTAGGCGCAGTAGCGTATCAATCATTGGAAACACTGGTCCGTATTTCTAGCAGCGAGAGAAACAATTAAATACCCCGGTGCCGATATAAATAAATCACTGGCCGGTGTCTGCTTTGCGCAATTTACCGTTCCACGCTGGCGCAAATTCGGCCAGGTCTGCCGGGTTTTTAGCCGGCCGTTGCCTCGGTTTGCGCGTAATCGTCGACAAAAGAGTATTCAGCGAATGGTAAATCACTCGCATCAGCGGAACTCAATTGGCCCTAATCAATCTTTCACGAGTAAATCACGCCGGCACGCAGGCAGCGCGATAGATCAGCCATTCTCAAGCGGCGGACAAATAATCAATCCGCATTTCCGCTGATTCAATCATGCTCCCTGTGTGCCTGTGTTTATGCGTGTGCCAACTCTCTCCCTCTCTGTGTACACCTACACACATGATCCACCTGTACGTGTATTTCGCGCAGTGCCTCCGCCGAAGCCTGTGATACTGGACGGGACGACGAGGAACATCTCGGGGTTAGAGCAACGGTACAACGAGGGTAGTGACGTGAACCTGATTTGCGAGGTACAAGGTGGCAGGCCGCCCCCGAAGCTGACGTGGTACCTCGAGAACACCGTGATAGACGAGTCCTATCACTACAAGCCCGAGTCTCGCCTCACGGTTAACCACTTGTCCTACCCTAAAGTTGGGAGGCAACACCTGAAGGCTCGGCTGATCTGCGAGGCTAGCAACACCAACTTGGTCCCGCCGAAGACTATACTGGTCATCCTCGACGTGAATCGTAAGTTATCCTCACGATTTTCAGTGTCACTGTTTGTCCGGTTGTTACAATTTCTCGTTTCCGGTTGATTTTATGACAGGGATTAGGTGAGGTTGACGAACGTGTTGCGAGATTCCGATGTCTTGGAAGGTTGCCATCGGTTGACAGGAGTTTGCTTTGAAACGGAGCTCGCGTTTATTTGTGGCGGAATGAGAGTGAACGCAGTCGGGAGATGAATGGAGGTTAGGGAATTTGGATAAATGACGGGTCGGAGATGAATATTTCGCGATTTATTTTCCTCCATGGTTCGCTTGTGTTTCTATTTGCGTGGGTACTTGGACAAGTACCATGTTTTAATGTTTTGGAAGAGCAAGCTTTTTGAAGTGGCTTCGTTTGAGTTTCGTGTTCGACATGATTTTTTGGTGAAATCTATACAAAGTTTGTATATTCTTTTCACTTTCGGAGTAATATTTCATATCGAGGACGATGATATTTAAAATTGGTTGAGGGGTTGTATCCGTGTATTGGTATTCCAATACAACTGTGTTTTGGGGATAGATTTCTGTATTGCGAATAGATTTCTATTAATTTGTGTGGAAGAGTTCACATATTTGAAGAAAATATGAATTTATAGAAATAGTAATTAATATTATTAATATAAATAATATATTTAATGCGATTGTTAATTAATTTCAGTTTCTTATTGCTAGTATAATAGTTGCGATAATTTTAATAATTATGTTAACGCAATCATCCTTATCGTTAATTATTTACCGATTTGTAATTCGATGATCACATGTCGCAAGTTCACCACCGCGGCAAATTCAAATTTACTTCGCCAACAAATTACTCCCCATCTTACCCGCTGCGAAGTTTTGCACGTAATAAAATCTCCCTTAATACTATCTCTGAAAGTAACACGCGACGAACCTTTCCAGTTAAGGAACCAACGATGTTTTAACAAGAATATCAGAAAGTTGTACGAAATTAATTACGAGTAATCCAGAGCTAACAGAATTGCCAGATAAACCACGTAACGAGCTACCACCGCTTTAAATATTATTTAAACTTTTAAAGTTCGAACATTTATTCCGCAATTACCCCGTTCTCTTATCGAAGAAATTTCGTCGAAGAAAGTACAGTTTGAGAAATTAACGTAACATCTTCTCGATGTGTCCTGCTACCTCTCCAACCTCGTCCAGCCGCCATTTTGTTCGTCGCATTTCGGAACAATGTTACTCTCCTTTAATCTCATCGTTTGCTTCTACTTGTGCACATTCAAGGAACTTGAGGAACGTACTCGTAATTCCGCGATAATTGTGTCGTTCAACCTGGTGCAGATTCGAATGGAAGATTCTAAGCAGATAATCAAGGTGCAAGGCGTTGGTGATTTAATCGCGTTCCTGTTAATGATTCACGAAAAGGCTAATGGGATCGTTGAAATATTCATTTCGTTACTTTCTCCGGACATCTGATTAAAATATCGTCGGGAAATGGACAGTCTTCGTCTTGTCCTGTTATCTCGATTATACATTGTTAATTTAGTTAGTATTTTGAAAATAATAAGGGAAAATTTTGTAATATGGAAGTAGAAGTATTCTTTCTTAGCATAATTATTTTTTATACTTAGAACACGATTTTTATAATTTTTCTACGGTTTTCATATCATACTACGATTTTTATAATTTCTTTCTGTGAATAGTATCGTATTATTTATTATTCGTAATTTTCGATAATGATCACTGAAATTTATAAAGAATTATTCTCTTATATAACTGTGCAAATTTTATAATGTAGGAGTAGAGGTATTCTTTCTTAGACACTTAGTATAATTCTTTTTTGTACTTATTGCACGATTTTTATAATTTTTCACAGTTTTATGGTTTTCATGGTATACTATGATTTTTGTCATTTCTTTATTTCTGTGAATAGTATCGTATTATTTATAATTTAAAATTTTCGACAATGATCAATGAAATTCGTAGGGAAATTATATTCTCCTATTTATCTGTGAAATTAATTTCAGAACCAGAAGAGGTACATAAATAGAATATTTCACATATTTAAATTTTCATTATATATACTTGGTTGTATTATTTCCATGTACTTAAAGAATATATGTATAACATAAAAGTAAAATAATTATAATTATATGTACTGACATGAACTTCATTTTCATCTGAAGATTGAACAAGATTACTATACATATTACAACTCTATAACTTAACCCAGTGATTTTCAATCAATATATCACAGCCCACTAATGCAACTTAATAATTTTTAGGGGTCTCGTATTTTGAGGATTCTTAAAAGATGCAGTGAGCAATTATTTAATTAGGAGTCCAGGTCAAACATAAAAATGGCAACAAGTTCCATTTGGTACCTATTAAATAGGTACCATAATTAATTATAATATATAACAATTATTAAATTAAAGTCCACCTATCTTTCTTGTCATAAAGATGCGGGGGGCAATTATTCAATTAGGAGTCCAGATAAAACATAAAAATGGCAACAAGTTCCATTTGGTACCTATTAAATAGGTACCATAATTAATTATAATATATAACAATTATTAAATTAAAGTCCACCTATCTTTCTTGTCATAAAGATGCGGGGGGCAATTATTCAATTAGGAGTCCAGATAAAACATAAAAATGGCAACAAGTTCCATTTGGTACCTATTAAATAGGTACCATAATTAATTATAATATATAACAATTATTAAATTAAAGTCCACCTATCTTTCTTGTCATAAAGATGCGGGGGGCAATTATTCAATTAGGAGTCCAGATAAAACATAAAAATGGCAACAAGTTCCATTTGGTACCTATTAAATAGGTACCATAATTAATTATAATATATACCAATTAAATACAATTATTAAATTAAAATCCACCTATCTTTCTCCTCATACCTCTTAAAAATTTACTTCCCTTTACTCCACAGAATTTGAATAATTTGTTCACATGTATATCACCTCGGAAATTCCATCTATAATAAATACCCACATAAATATCTTACTATCTTCCTGTTTAACATCTCCTCACACTTTTCCAACATCCCTCTACTTTCTGCCTCCATCCCAACGAAACTGAGCCTGGGTACCACCTATCCGACGCGAATAGAAGAGCATTAAAAAAGAAAAATCCCGAACATAAATTCGTTCCACGTCTACGCGAGCGTCTCGCGATGGCTCTTCGTGGCCAACGAGAAACGCGTTCCCTCAGAGACTCCTCTAACTCTCCGTGCCTTAGTTATCGCGGTGAAATCGCGCGGATACCAGGCTAAACGGTTACATATTTCCGTCTGCAGTACGCAGATAGAACCGCGATACCGGTGACGTCAGGTGGAAAGCATTAACGAGACGCCTGCAGTGTTTCTTGCGATCTTTGGCCTGCGTTCACGGTTCTTTCGCAACGGAATTACGCAGAGATACCGGTCGCCTGGGTAACACATAGGTCACGCTGAACGTTGCACGGTTCAGTCGCGACAGACAGTCTGGTTTTCTTTGCTTTCCAACGAGCTTACCAGCCAGCCAGGCCAAACACCGATTTACGAAGCGTTTCTTTGCCCGAATTATGCGTCTCTGCTCTGGTTCGTGAGAGTTTCCATGAGGCGTGTTAGGTTTGCTTTATGGCTTCAGAATTGGGGGATCAGAAGCAAGGACAACGTGGACTTGCTTGGTGTAGAATTAAACGGAGTATTTATTCGTCTGAATCTTCTGTTGTTATAAAAGTGATTTATATAGGGTGTCCTGAAATTCGCGCTAGATTTACATTTTGCACCATTTGCGAGGTAAAGAGTTGCCAATGATGAAAAATAGACAGCGTGACAGCTGACAGTTCAGGGTTATTGAAAGTGGAATGCTACTCAAGAAAGCTACATGTCTTGATTGTTGGGAAATATTTACAATTTTTAATTAAAAACATGTTTTCTATGAAAATTAATCCTTTGCACTCGAGTGGTTGACCCTCGGTCAAAATTTCATAAAATTTGGAACATCGATGTTAATTAATATTTCAAATTTAATGTTATGTAACATTGTGTAAGGTATCGAAATCAAATAATTCTACAATTCTTTATTTACTGCTCTAAAAAGTATCGTCAGTTTTTTAATAGAGTATCTTTGATTTTCTACTTTTCTCTAGCCAAAAAATTGTCGAGTGTAAATGGTTAATTCTTGCGAGAATTTTTGGACACCCTCTATATACTCGGTGTCCATTGATGAGTGATGTTCGATATCTATGCCGAAGTTGGTTAAGATTATAAAGAGATGCGTAGTACATACCTTTTTATTTATCCTTTCATTGATTTTGTTGTGAATGAAACGTTTGTTTATAAAATTTGCTATGGTCATTTGAATTATAATGATCATTTATTTTATATTTTGTGAATGTATCGTTATACTGTCGTCTTGAGGGAATGATGGAATGTATTGAAAACGAATTCAAATTCAATAGATATATCAGACGACACTTATCAATGGACACCCTGTATTTTATTTTATCATTATTTAAACATTGTAGTAATTATATTACAAAATTTTAGATACGGAACTTGTTTGAGAATAACATAATAATTATGCTTAAAAATACCATAGTTATATATATAAGTTATTTCACTTCAAATTTCGCTTAAAACTTAATTATTCAATTATGGCCTTCACAGATCAGAATATTACAGATCAATGAATTCACTCTGAATGGCACTATTTCTTCACATAAAGAGACGTATACAGTCCCATTAAAGTAGACCAAAGTTACCTCGAAATCTTGGAAGCACGTTTATTTGCCACAAATTTATGATCATTATTAGATGATCCTCTTAATACAGGGTGAGTTTCATTTGAAATATTTTTTGAAACGAACTGTAATGTAGGAAATAATTGAGTGCAAAACTTTAAATGGATTGTTGGATTTAGGTTACTATTCCGTTAATAAATTCGAACACAGTCTTTCTTAATAGTTATATTTATATGTTTCTCCTCGCATAGCTGCTTCTTGACTGAAATGAGTCCG